AAAACAATTCAATCGAATCTGATAAATCATTCAAGAAAAATCGTAGATTTTACAGCAAGAATTTTTGGCAGTCTTTGAATAATATATCTGAAAGAAATTTTATAGTAAGTTCTAAGTTTGATCTTTCATTTATGATTGAACATGTTACCATTATTACTTCATTGATTATTCCATGCAGTAACTAATCCAAGAAGCTGTATCTCACTCAGCTGTCGATTCACAGATTACGAGAAATCGAAGGGGTTCGCTGAATGTGTGTTAGCAGAGGAACCTCAAGATTTGCGGTATCCCACGAATTCGTTCCTGTGGAAACTGCGGACTTTAAGCACGGACGATGGATAACCGCGAGAGAAGAGAAAAGGATTTTTCTTTTCGATGGATACCCTAATTCAAGTTTCGTTGGGTCATAAGTTTTTTTAGAATAGAATGCGTTCCCGACATTAAAAAATGACCATATTCTTGTGTGGTTGCTGTGGAGAATTTTATATTATAAGTATTATTCTTGTCTTATTTAGTTTTTAGTTTTATTGCTTGTTTTTGTATTATTTATTTTTATTATTCGTTAACTATCTATGAATACAGATATTTTTGTATTTAATATCTTACATGATTTAGATAGATGAAATATTTATGTATACTCCTTTCTTATCTAATTTTTTTTCATTTATATTATCTATTTCTTATATATGTTTTCATTAATTTATATATATATTTTTTATATTATTATATGTGATTATATATATTTAAAAACTAAAAAAATAATATTTCTTCTTCAGAGGTGAATATAAAAAGTACAAAAATACTTTTATAATCTTATTTTAATTTTGTGGATTATGTCATATTACTATGCTAGATATAAGATGTAAAAAATTGATTTATATATTCTGATAACTTCTTTTATTCATATTTTTAAATAAATTAATTTAACGATTAAAATTTTGAAATTATTATAGAAATATGATCCATATGATGAACAATTCAATTGTTTCTCAATTTTCAATGTATTCTCAATCTTTTACCTGTTTATTATTTATAGTTTAAAATACTAACAAAAATCACTCCATTCTATGTATTAGTTTTTAACATATGAAAAGCTTTTTTGCAACCTGAAATAAGATAATAATAATAAATTAATATTTATTATATGGATATATATAATTTCTTTGTAATAAAAAATTAATTTTAATTGTACGATTATAAACTAACCTAAAAGTAATATATTATTAACATATATAATACATTTACTTATATGTATGACATGTGTATTTTTCAAATAAATTTATTCTTTCAAGAATATTTTTCACATATTTTCCACTTTACGCTATTATACACTTCTATATAAATAATTAATAAAATTACAATTCATTT